ATCAATCCCTATGATTTCAAATGGCGCACAATCCGTAACTCGGTCTGGCGGCAGAGGTGTCGGTTCGCTTGACATGGCCTTAGTTTTAAATCTTTTACAAACGATACAGTTAAAGAGGACATTTTTAATGGCCTTTCTAGCTCTGACTATCCAAAATCTTTCTCGTAATATGCATTGCATCATCTGAAGACCAGCATGACAGTTCTTATTATGCACATTTCTGATTAATAACTTAGTAAAATCACATTTTTCTGGTAACAGTATTGGATACAGAAAAGATTCATAGTCATCTCTATTTAGTATTCTCGTTTTAACTCTTAGAATACCATCATCATCAATGAGCGTTTCAATAAAATTATAAGATTTCTTATCAGTCAGATAATAATTTTGAACCAAACGAATTAAATTTTTCTCAGAATTTTCAATTTCATACTGTGAAAGTTCAATGTTTCCATTCTTTTCAGAACCACCTTTACAATTATTTACAAATCTAAATATCCATGCAAATACTCTAATCATTTTATCATAATTGGATACACTGATTCGATGCCAAGGGGGTGCGTCTTTTGATAGATCAATATTCACTCTTTTTATCTTTTTCCTCTCCAATTCTACTTCTTCATGCAAATAAATAATCTCACCAGTGGGCCAGTTTTCAGGGCCTTTCTCGTAACCACAAGGGGCCTTCCCACCATCTAGACCGAAGCATTTGCTTCGCAAAACATCCGCGCGACAACAAGTCGGCAATATTTAGTTTCCCTGGGATATGTCTCCATGAATGACCTCGCGTCAACTCTCGAATCTCTTTAACCCTATTTTCGACGAAAACGGACCAATTTCCTTGCTCTGTTATCCACCAAAGGGCAGTGGTTGAATCAGACCAGAAGGTAACTTTTAAATCGGGCAAACTGAGAGCCTTTGATAATAGAATTTGCAAGTCTAGAACCTATACAACAGGCCATTAATTCTAAGCGAGGAATGCTTAAAGATTTCAAAGGCGATACTCTAGACTTCGCCCGTACGAGATTTATTTTTACTTCAGAATTAAATATTGATCGAACAAAGACGCACGCTGCATACGCCCCCTTGCAAGCATCCACAAATACATGTAGTTCAGACGTGTCATTGATAAACAAGTATCGAGGCAAAGTAACATCTTTCAAAACATTAAGTTCTTTAAACCAGTTCAAAAATATATTTACATCATTCGGAGACAATTCATCATCCCATGCAATTTTCACTTTCCACAATTTTTGCAACAACAGTTTTGGAAGCAATGTAGTTGGCGTTAATAAACCAATAGGATCAAAAATTGTCTGCACAATTGCCAAAATTGTCCTCTTTGTGATTTTTGTATCACAGGTCAATGTATCTGTGTCTGTGCAGCACCTCAGCGTATCATTATCCAAATTCCAAATTACCCCCAAAACGGAAGTATCCCCTGAATGTTTGTCAACATTTGTACCAGCCACATTGCTTTCAAAACCGCGCAAGTTAAAACATCCATTTGACATGATTAATTTGGAATGTTCAATAAACGTAAACTGTTCATCAATACTAAAAACACTAGATAAACAATTATCCACATAAAATGACGATTTCAATTTTTGAGCAACTTCACTATATTGACGTGGACAGTTTTCTAATAGATGCATTATAGATGCGTTCAACAAGTAGGGGCTCGAAGAAACTCCAAACACAACTCTGCAATGCCTATAAATTAATTTCTCTTCATTGCATGGGAAAAAAAATCTGAGAAAATCTCTATCTTTAGATGCGACGGATAACATTAAAAAAGCCTTTTCAATATCGGCACTAATACCAATCGGATACATTCTAAAACGATCTATAATATCAGGTATTAATTCAATAAGATTTATTCCTTTACACACAAACATTCGTTCAAAGAGAGTTTCCCTTTCTCAGATGCAGAAGCGTCAAAAACAGGACGAATTTTCGTGGTTTCACTTCCTAATTTGATTACAGGCCTATGCGGCAAATAATGACATTCATTATTCAATTCGTTTTCTGGTACGCGTTCAATAATATTCAACCTTTCCCATTCCTTTGAACACATTTTGATAATCATCGAAAAATTTACTACATCTGAGTTTATAGATCATCTTTTGATACCTTTTCCAGGATAATTCTTTATTATCGGTTAAATGTGTCGTATCACATTTCCACGGAAGTTCTACTTCATATCTTCCATCTGGAAGAATTTTCATTTTGTTCTCAAATTCAGATAAATTAAAACTTTCATTCATTTTAACAGTTTCGTTTGGAGCGCATATTCCTATTTTTTCAAGTTCCCATAACTCATTCAGAGGAATTCTCCTGACATGCATTGAAAATGTTTTCAAAATATTATCCTTTTCACCCGAATTTCGTTTTGCCAAATACCGTCCACCCAAGTTTCGTTTCGACAGCCGTTACCCCGGACTGTAATTCAATAGAATTTCCCGTCAATAATTTTCCTATAACATCTGCTCCGATTATTAAAAGGTTAATTTCAATTTCCTTTCGCAATGGATCCGAAAATTCGATTTCTTTTTCTTTTAATTCATTCAAAATCTCTTTATCCTTAACCTTAGGAATAAAACCGCAAATCTTTTTTTCCGATAATGCCTCAAAACTACATGCGAATGTTCCTTTTAAATTGCTGACCTCGACCGAAAACACTTCATGTTGTTTAGGTTTCGTTTCGTCCCCCCCAAACAGTGCATGTATAACTGTCTCCTCCCGAAGTGGAGATGCTTTAAGCTGACTCATCATATTTTCACTAACGTAGCTACTTTGGCTTCCGCTATCAATTATGCAGCGAATAATTTTCTCGCGACCTTGACACCGAATTCGAACGCAAAGCGTTTGCAAAAATACAGTTTCGCTTCTGCTACAGTTAGAAAGAGAACTCTCTTTTGAAACATTTATCTGATCATTATTTTTTAGCTTTTGATTACACATTACATCAAAATGATTACAACTTTTGCAAATAGAACAACTTAACTTACCTTTGAAAGGACAAAATTTACTAATGTGACTCGCTCTTTTCAGACAAGAAAAACAAGCACCTTTTTTCAACAACAATTGTTGTTTTTCAGCTAAAGTCATTTTTTTTTGCAGAGTAACATTTTTCACTAAAATGTTTCTTTTCACAAAAATTACAGTTCGGAACACTCTTACCTGAATTCTCAAGACTTACTAGAGCTGATGCTGTTACGGGATCATTTTGCTTTACCTGTTCGTGGTTTTAAATCTTTCTTCCGATGGTTCTGTTGGGAAGCGAAACCAGTTCTTGCGAGGAGAACCATCTCTTCCCCCTTAACTTCCTGTTTTAAGAAATTCATTAAATATTTCAAAGATCGATTCCCTTTAGTTTCAATGGAGTCGTGATTTCTGCTTCTTTCCCATGCCATCAGTACTTCTGGTAAGTGTTACTTCTGGTAAGTTACTTCTGGTAAGCAACTTTCCACTAAGGGGGTCAAAAAATCCCCATATTTTTCTTGGGTTCTTCCCAAACTTTCCAACGCTCGCAATTTTCCTTCTAGTTCATCATACAGGGAGGGTAGATCCGTTTTTGCTCTTCCGGTTACAGCGTTCTTCATCACTAGGCTTAACAAGTCTCTCACATAGATTTGCACAAGTAAATCTTCGCGTCCAAAGCGCTCTCTTAGTTGTTCGATGGCTTTAGGATAATTAGCTGCCGTTGCCGGGAAGCTAAGGACTAGGCGTTCTGCCTTTCGATTTGGGTTCCATGGCCTGCAATAGATACTGCATTTTATCTTCATCGGCGATACTTTTGTCATCGTGGATTTTCTGGAACTGACTCCAAAAAGTCAGGTAATCTTTAGCTTCACCACTGAATTTTTTAAGCTCAATTTTAGGCAATTTAAATTTCCTAGATTCGGAATTATTTGAAGGAGAAGAGGCTTGTATTTCCGCATCTATTTGAGCACACTGTTCTAGAAACTTATCTCGATAATTCTCCGCTTCTTGAAAATCATCACTAAATAATTTTTCTCCATCTTCAGTCTGCAGAATTTGCTGCGATATAGCACTCTGGCATACGTCAAGTCTCTGGAATTTATCACAAAGTTGACACTTCAAAATCGAAAGTATTTTTAAATCTCTTACTTCTTTAGTTAATTCACTTTCGGTTTTCCTTGAGGTTTGCGAAAACGCAATTCTAAGTCCTTTTCTTTGAGCCTTTAAAGCGATCAAATCCATCTTCAAAGTATATTCAAAATCGAAATTCAATATAACAAAAGTTCAATCGGAAAATTCTAATTCAAAGCACCCGGTCCCACCGAGGGTACCACTATGTTACGAAGAACACAGAAAATATATAAATCAAATATATTTAAAACAGTTCGTTCAGTTGCGGGCCTGCCTCTACCCGAGGCTGGGTGCATTACGAATAAAGACAAAAAAATTCTTAATAAATCATTCTTTATTTCCATCAAAACAGTATCACTCTTCCGAGCTCAGCTTTCGTTCGTCCACACGTAAAACATTCGAAAACACTCAGCACGCAGGCTGACGTCACAAGCAGCAGCGCCTCGCGCCGGTTATTACTTCAGTTCATTTCACAACAGAGTGATTCCATTTTCGTGTTGTTAACACTACAAGATCATTGATAAAAAAATATCGAATCTTTTCAAAATTCATGATGTAATCCTTCAAAATTGATTCTGGCCCTTTATTGGATCTCACAATTATTAAATTAAGTCCTTCAGTATTTTTACCTTATTTCACTGTTGAAGACAGTTTACCTTTTGCTATTTTAAGAATTCCACGCTAAATTTTACCTCTTTGCCGAACCTTCTTTTGTATGATAATTATTTAATCTTTGATGATTCGGGAATAAAGGCATTAAGCCTATTTTGAGCCTTGAACGCAAGGAGGTTGAACCTCCTTGCTTGAACCATTCCTTGATCCTCTGTGGCCTAAGCCATAGCGCTTGTATATTTATATCCTATTATTTATTAGCCCTGAATGGCAGCATCAGGTTAGACGTTTTGTAAACCCGGAGTTTGTGTTGTGAAAATTTCCTCTAGTACATTCAGTTATATTCATTTAACATTAAGACTGAATAATTTTCTTATTATATATCTTTTCGGCTGTATTTATTTAATTTAGTGAGAAGGGGAGCCAGCTTGAAATTAAATCTTCAAATGTGTACTCCAGCTTGAAGTATAAAATTTATTTCATATGGTAACTATTATTAGAGAATATTGCTGAAAATTTGCGTCATTGATTCTTTCTGAAGTTTTAAAGTTGTACTTAGAATAAAAATAATGTTTTCATATTGTAAAATAATTTTAATAGCGTATTTTTAATTTGTAATATTTGTTATGTATTTTTTTTGGGATTTAACTAGGATAGTTGTTTTATTTTCTTTAGAAAATGAGTTATAATGTCAGAGATATTTGCGAAGACACGAAAATGGCTCGCGAATATGCACTTTTGGGAAATTATGAGACATCATTAGTATATTATCAAGGAGCCATCCAGCAAATCCATAGGCTGCTAGCAACTATAGCAGATGCATCGCGAAAGGAAAGGTGGCAACAGGTGAGTTCATACATTTCTAAATTATAACTATGCACATGTTCTTACTGTGTAAAGAATTGTACCCTTTCCACCTTCCCCCCCCCAATATATTGTCATTTGTATGGAATTGTGCAAAATTATCAGAACAAAGTCATGTTTATTTTTCAAAGTTTTCAGGATTAATTGCAAATATTGGTTGCGGGGACCATGTTTATGCTTTTGATTAATTAGAAATAAGATTTTTTTACAGTGAACTATCGACATAAAATAGTTGAAAAATTAGTATTTACAATACATCCAGCTTAATAGGATCATATTTGTGGTTGTTATGGTAATGTTAACCAAATGATAATATTAAGCAATGAGAACAAATATTCTGAAAACTAGCAATGAAATTTAACTAAATTAATATGAGCAGAAACATATAAGTAGATATTTTCAGAACATTCTTTTGGAAAATGCAAAAGCTTCTTTATGAACTGTTGATAACATTTGACATTGTGCCATTAATCTTAACACTTGGAGGAGGGTAAAACTATATTTGATGGTGCCCCCTTCGCGATTTTTGGCGGTACACGGACACAGAGTTTATGCGATTTGATTTGTTATTTTAGCTTTGTTTGGCGATTTTCACACCAAAAATCGGCAAAATAACAAGTAATGCACAAACTTGGCATTGCGCACAAAAAAATATATAACCTCAGTAAACTGCGTTTTAAATCAAACAATGAAGTAACATAAAAAAGCACTACACAAAGGAAATAGCCACCTACCTTATTTAGAAATTACTGTGAAATGCACAAACTCAATATCCATGTACACATTCATATATTTTCACTTAAAAAAAGTCACAGAATTGCACAAACTCAGCATTGCGCACAAAAAATATATAATTTCAATAAACTGCGTTTTAAATCAAACAATGAAATAACATTAAAAAACGCTACGCACTACGCAAAGAAAATAGCCACCTACCTTATGTAGAAATTTTTCTGTCTTCAGTCTGTGGCACACAAAATTCCTGAACAGCATCCAAAAACTTTCCTCAAACCATGTTCCCTTTCTAACGAAACACTTCATATGGTGACCATTTGAACCTTTCTTGCAACAAACCCATTCAAAGCCATCTGAATGATCTTAACGTTCGACCATATGCATTTCCTTTGTAAAACTGGACACTTACAATTGCTACTAAGTAAACCTTCATTTACACACCACTCAATTAATGCTTCCCCCTCCTCGTTCCAAATACTATAGAAATTTCAAATTAATCTTAACCACATTCAGCCGTTTTATAGTATAAACCACAAAATAAGCAACTTCCTAACCAACATCCAACACACAAACAAGCCCTTAAAAATCTTTTCCCCATCAGTCAAATTCACGCAACCAATTACGTTGTAATAGGTTTTCATAACATTAAACTACTCAGATTACCATAAATGAAACAACAACTTGGTGATAATCCAACGGGCACCCTTTACTCAGGTTCCCATAAATGAAAAAACAACTTGGCGAGGGCACCCTCAAATATAGGCTAGCCTGGAGGAGATCCTTCATTAGAAGAGAATATGCTAATGTAAAATATAAAATTGGGCAAGTAAACACTTAATAAATCAGATGGTTTCTGGGATTTTTTTCCCCTCCTTCAGAAGGCGGAAATATCTGTAAAAAATTTTGGAGAAAGTATAAAATCCACCCACTCCTTCGCACGTTTCTCAAAATCGCCAACTTGAAAATAACAAGTTAAAGAATTGCACAAACTTAGTATCCATGTATACATCAACCTATTTTCACTTAAAAAAAATCACAGAATTGCACGAATTTTGCATTGCATACTCCCTTGACCTTGTCCGTGTACACATTAATATGTGCCATATAAGTGGGCAATTCTGCATCAACTTGAAAATAACAAGCTCGGTACCCATGTACACATCGACCTATTTTCACTTCAAATAAAACAGAGTATTTCAGAATCTTGGCATTGTGCACTCCCTTGACTTTGTCCATATACACATCAATACACGCCACATTAGTGGGTGATTCTGCACTTTACTCAAAATTTTGTTTTTGAAGGTGAACGACCTGTGTCTGACCCCTCTTAAAATTGATAGTTATTTAAAAATTATGGCAAAGTAATGTTGTTGTTTTGCCTAATTTTAAATGGTTGCTTAAAATCCAAACCAAGCTGTTTGGCAACTTAAAATATTGGCCTGAACACTAGCTAAGCTCTGAGAGAAATGAATAAAACTTCTAAAACAATAGGTCATATATCTCCATATTGCCAAAAATAAAAACAAAAGTGTTCAGAAACATAAAATTGGAATAAATATATAGTTTAAACTTAAAATGTATGTGTAATATATAACTTTTGCTGTAGGAATAATTGTTTTTTAATAAGGTATTTCTCCCGCCTTCTTGGCATGCCGTCGTGTTGTGGTGGTCTGCATGCCAGGCACGTATTACAGAGGTCCGCAGTTCAATTCCCGGAGAAGGCGTTTCTAATTTTTCAATTCTCCTGTTTCCAAAAAGATACCTAATGTCTCAACAGTGGCGCCCGAACTAAAAGGGTGTTGGATGATGATTCTCCATATCCGGGATTTGGCGATTGGGTTCCCTAAAAAAAAAAAAAAAAAAAAAAAAAAAAAAAAAACTGTCGCCCTTTAAAAGAGCGAGTTCTATACGGTTATATACGGTTCTCTCGCCTTCTTGATGTGGTGGTCTGCACCCTAGACGCGTATTCCAGAGGTTCGTGATTCGATTCCCGACAAAGGCGCTGCACATTTTTCATCTTGCCTGCTTCCAAAAAAAAAAAAAAAAAAAAAAAAAACCTTATGTCTCTAGATCTTTTTTTTTTTCGGCTGATCTTTAGAATATGGTAACTGGTAGTTTGGCGACATTTTGGAGGCGATAAAGGTTACTACCTGGGACTTTGGTAATAATGTGAGCAGTACTCAGTTCCGATTACGCATTATTTTGTGTGAGGGAAGTGAGAGATCATGGAATATGTCATGTGATATTAATGGACGAATTACGGTTCTTTAATCAGAAAAGGGGAAATTTGGAAAAATATCTGTGGCTGTATAGTATTTGTATTAAGTTCCATTGTGTGTTGTGTGAAGTAGGGTTGAATAATTTGGGATTGTATGGCGCTGTCTAAAGTGAATTCTAGATTTTTAATGCGTTTGTGTGATAATTCAAAAGAATTGGTTGAATGGTGCATGAGTGTAGGTTTAATTGCGGATAAGTAAGTGTATCCACCATGTAAGCAAGATTCTGAAGAAGATTAGGTAAGTTAGTATTTTTAATTATTTGAGGATATTATTTTTATGCATTGTTCTAAATGTAAGGTGGAAGTAAAGTAATTTGGTATTATTGGGAAAATTGTTATTAGCAATGATTTAGTTTAAAGTAATTAGGATTGTAAGCTAATTTTTATTAATTTAATGTATGTGGTTATTTATATTTTAAGTAGTGTTTTTGAATTTAATTATATTTTAATTAAATGATAGTTATTTTGTGAATTTTATGTTTGTAGGAATTTGGTATACGTTTTAGTTGAAGTAAACGTGCATGGAAATAATTTAAATATTTGACACAAGTATTTGTAATGTTTGCGGTATGAATCCGTTGGTGACGTTTATAATATAATAGATGATTTAGAGGTAAAAGTTTTTGGATATTTTATTTATTTTATACGTGGAAATGTTCATATTTGGAAAGGGTATATACTTTTTCGTTATTAGGTAATTTCATATATATTCTTTTAACGGGTTTAAAGATTCAGAAAATTGTCATGCAATTCGTGAAATTTTCTAATTTATGAGAAAAAAGCAGTGTAACATGGATATAGTGAAGAGTGTGCGCAATGCCATTTTTGTGTAATTGTGGGATGTTTTTTTAAAGTAAAATAAGTCAAACGGTGTACATGGTTTATGGTATGTGTTATTTTGAAAAACGCGCAAGGAGTATGGTATTGTGCACTTTTTCCCAATTTTGCAGTGAATATTTGTCATGATTAAGCAGTTTTGTTAGATAAAATTTCTTGCATAAGTGTAATTCGGCTAGTAGATTGTTGAAAGAAGTGTTCAGTAGATAAAAAGAAAAGAAACGTCTTTACTTCGTGAAGACAAAATGGCGGCGGTAAAAAAAAAATAGAGGGTTTCTGTAGGAGAGTTGGTCGCCAAATTTTCGCCAAAAAATCACAAAGTTACCATAATCTAAAGATCAACCATTTTTCTTATAAAATTTGCATAACTGCACAAAGATGGTTACAATAATATGTAACTACCATAAAATCTTCGATCAATGTGATCAAATTAATTCTGTGCATAGAATTTGAGGATACATTTTCATATCGTTTTGGTCATTTTTACATGGTAGATTATATCAAAATGAGAATGATGTCAGTTTTTATCTCTTGTAATTATTTTTTTTACCTCTATCATTTGATAATTGTCAGATGTCTTACCATTTTAATCTTCTAAAGTTTAAATTTGTGTTAATTTATTAAGAATGTTTGCATTTGTTTTTTTCTGCTGTGTTCAATCTATGTTTTTTAAAAAATTCTCATCACATTTTTAATGTGTCTTTGGTAGATTTATATATATATTTAAAAATGTATTTTGGGTACTTTTCCATTTTGCCGGTGCAGACGATAACATCGCCAATAATGGTACAGCTGATGCCCAAACAGAATATCCTCTCTTTTAACCTTTTACACCTCATTTTCAAAACAAGTCGCAGCCATTTCTTATAACATTGATTGTTTCTTTCAATATTGGCATATAATTACATAGAATTTTTACCAGATAGTTCAATTTTATGCCAGGCCACTTGTGGATATTAAGTCAATTAAGATATCACATCGCTCATCCAAACGGGTAAATATAGAAAAGGCAAAGTCAAGGGTTAAATTCATCAATTCTAATGAGAATGCACTAGTGAAATAAAGCACTGCGGTTTACATAAGCTATTCGTACAAATTGAAGTAATTCTTGCACTTAACTGGAAATTAATGTTTGATAATTACTGAGAGAATTAGATTTTTGTAGCGTAGTTTACGTGAGATGAGATCACTTCGTGATACGAAGCGGCAACTCGGGATGTTTAACTAGGAAAGCATAGTACATTTTTAAACTAATCTTATTTTACAAATTTATTGTCTTGATTTATTGGCTTTTTTAAAAATTTTAAATGATACTAAAATGTTTATGCCTTCGAAATTAAAAATTCTTAGAACTAACATTTGTTAAAAATTTTTAAGTGTATACTGTATGTGTTCGCTAATAAAGTCTGCTTGGTGAGACTTGCGCCGGCGAAATGGAAAAGTACCGTATTTTGTTTTGCTTTTCTTTAGAAAATGCTATATTCTTGCGAATAATGATTTTTGTAAATTCTTCTTTATTTAGGTAATTCTTTATTCAGTTATGTATTAATCCTTTAATTAGTATTTTGGAATTCTTTATTGAGATAATAATGTGATACAAATTATAGATATAGCGCATGAATAACTTGCAGCTTATATAATGGCATATCATAATTTTTTTGTATTATATCAGCATTATTTGTTTTAAAAGTTGCATGTCATCATTTTTTCAAAATCTGAGGAAAATGTAGAACTTATATGCTTCTTTACAAAAATTAAACTGGGTTATCAAGATTTAATGGAATTTATATTAAACCAAAATAAATTTCTTATGATTGTGTTTTGACATCAAGCTTATCCATTAGTGGCACTAAGTCACACTGTTTGGTGAAAATGTATACGAGTTAATAGTATTAAGATCTGTATCATGGCATTACAATCTTTTTACTAAAATTTTTCAGAGGGAAAAATTATCCAAAATATTTTGGCTACTTGAGCTTTCTGGTTGGTTAAATGCTAGGTATTCTGGCTTTTACTGTACTTACCATAGATCATAATCATGCTTTGAAATATTTCTCAACATAACTACTGCATTTTTAGTCTTGTGGTGTTATATTTTCTAAAGAGAGATAGTGAACAAGTGAGTTTCTAAAGTGGGATATGACACTGTCTTTGAAAGTACCTATAGCTTTTTGGGGCTTTATCAATAGGTGGAAACTTTGCATCTTATCCTATTTTGCAGATTAGATGATTATGATAACTTTTCTGATTATTAATTATGTGACATAGATTACCTCAAAACAGCTGAAAAATCACATGTTGCTTACTCAAGTGTTTATAACTCTAGATACCATTTGTGTGAGGCAAAATTTTTTCATGAAGTCAATTCTTTGCTGTTCAAGTTTCCGCTATACATCGATACCTTATAGATTTTTGAAAATATATTTGAAGAGGAATGGAGCAGTTTGGGTTAGTACATTAACAATTGTGAAGCAAGAGAGAGAGAGAGAATGCATAATATTCAAGATGAAATCTTGCTTCAAAATGATTTAGTTTAGTTTTATTTTGATGAGCTTTTAATAACTAGCCCATCAAAATAAAATTTTAAAGTTATTTATTGGCTGAAGCTTTATGTAAGTAATATCTGCATCCTGAACATTATGCAAGAATTGTAAGACGGATTAATTTTAAGACAATGCAGTTTGCAGAAATTTATGATAAGGAATTACTATTTTTGTGGATAAATATCAAAATAAAAATGGAGAGTTAGGAGTTATTGCAAGTTAGTACTTCAATTTACATATTTATATACTGTATTTCTGTTTATATAAAATGCACTATGAAACCTGAAAATTGAAAATAAATAAATAAATAAATAAATAAATAAAGAATTATTTAGTTGGCACTAGTGTATATCAGCCTACTGGATTATAATTTAATAAGAGAAAAATACTGCATAAAATTATTTTAAATAAAGTTTATCTAATATACACCTCGACATTGCTGTCATAATTCCCATCCATTAGCTGGACTTCATCTGTGTACTCCCTAAGGTATTCTATAACCTAAGGTGCAGTTTCCCCAGATGCATTATATCAGTTCATATTCCTTATCTTTAGGCTTAAGATGACTTAGTATATATTCGGGGTGGGAAGCTCTTTTGTTAGGAACTAGAAATAATATGATTTGAAACCTTAGCACTGCTCTGTTTGCTAATAAATGGGGCATTCTGAGAGTTATCGGGTATGCCACGTGTGCATTGTCAACAGTCTTTCACCCTTGTTTTCATTCTCTGCATCACCAACAATGGCGTTTCTGTTGGTGGCACCACCACTGCAGCATAAGATGTGCCCAGGTTTCAGAAAGAATTTCTAAAGAAATAGTGTGTCTTATACATCTGGAAATACTATATCCATATCATATTTTTAAAAGCAAAGCTTACGTAATGAAAATGAAATATTTCTATAAAACATACAGCATTGAAGTTTTATTAAATTTTGAAAATTGCTTAAAAATAGCAAAAAAAAATATTACTCGCTTAAGGTTTTCTATAATACTTAACCTTTATCAACAATTTGTAATATATAAAATCTAGTACTTTTTTTTACAGATCCAGCAAAAAATTGCTCAGGAGTTTGAGGCAGTACGAGATATTCAAACTGCTCTCTCTGACCTCAACACAGAGTTGAATATTGACAGAGCCATAACTGGAAGACAGACCTACGATATAACAACCATCCCAACAGAAATGTGGGCTCCACCTCCCCCTAGAGATCCTGATGTGTGGCCTCCGCCTACCCCTGTTGAACATAAGTAAGTGCAGTTTTTGTTTTTAGCACCAGAGATGCTGTTAATTCTTACTATTTTGTCCGTATCACTTTTCAAATAATAGGTTGTTGCCATCCAGTGTATTACTATATATTACCCACTCTGTATTATTTTTAAGAAATGGTAAAGCTAATATGAAAGAAAGTATGGGAACATTTAACACTTTCTCAGGAATTTTAAAGATTCATTATTTTTAATATTTTGTGGTTTTGCTGTTGAATTTTATGTGGCATAAGTGATGTTTAATAAATAAAGTTTAAGAGACCAAAAGTTAATAATAGAAATTCAAAAATATTGTGTGATGTCATCCTGTTATGAAAATTGAACATTGATAAAACTGAGAAAATGCTGAAAAAATGGAAAAATGTATGGGAATGCTTAACACTTTATCAGGAATCCTAAATATTTGCTGTATTTAAAAATACTGTTATTTTATCATTGAATTTTATGTTGCGTAAGTCTGAAGAAAGTTATGTTTAATAATAAAGTTAAAAAGACAAAAGTTGTGTGGGTCATCTTGTTAAACTGATCACTGCTAAAATGATCTGGGAAGACTGAAAAAAATAGAACAATTAACATTGTATTGGGAATTATGCTGCTTTTAAGAAATTTGTCATTTTATTGTTAATTTTTATGCCCCATAAGTGCAAAGAAAGCAGTGTGTAATAATGAAATGAAAAAGATTAATAAAAAATTGTATTAGCGGGAGGGAGCACAAAGAGCAGTTCTGTGAGAGCATGAACACCTTCAAGAGGAAAATCCTTTCAATTTTTTTTTTCTTTTTTAAATATAGAACACTTTTAATTCAATTTTTAAGCACAAAATTTATTTTTGATTACAAATTTTGGAATTGCTTAGTAACCATTACAGAATTGTATCTACAGTACAAAGTCTTTAATCCAAACTCGTTGGGATTTTGGCGATTCCGGATTAAGGGTTTTTCTGGATTATAGATCATCAATTTAAATCTGGTAAGGTGGCATGTAGAAATTATAAAATTAAAAATATGAAACCATAATTTATCAAATAAAGAGCAATTATGATCTAAAGGGTATCAAAATTACAAAAAAAAAAAAGCTTAATATTTATTTGATTACTTTATTAAACATTTTTTTTTAATGTAAGTTGTTTAAGTTGCTTTGTTTTATGTGCTAATACTTTCTCTTTAATTCTATAGGCTAATCTTTGGAATATGGTAACAGGTAGTTTGGCATCATTTTGGTAAGGCGATAAAGGTTACTAGCTAGGACTTTAGCAGTGTACATGTATAAAGTCAAGAGTGTGCACAATGCTATTTTTGTGCAATTCTGGATGTTTTTTAAAGTGAAAACAGGTCGACGTGTATATGGATGATACCGTGTATGTGGAATTCTTAAAAACGCGGCAAGCAGTGAAGCAGTGGGCGATTCTGCACTTTGTCCCAATTTCACACCTAATCTTCGTCATGATTAAGCTCTTTTGTTCCATAAAAGTTCTAGCATAAGCATAATTCGGCTAGCAGATTGTTGGAAAAAAAAGTTGAGCTTAAAAGAAAAAAGAAAAAAAAAAAAAAAAACTTCGTGAAAACAAAATGCCCTCCAAACAAAAACTAAGAGGGTTCTGTAGCAGGGTTGGTCGCCAAATTTTTGCCCCAAAATCGCCAAGTTACCATAATCCAAAGATTAACCATTCTATAAACAGACATAATTTCTTGTTCAGTTACAAAGTTCCGCTGTTCAAGTCCTGTAATTGCTGTGCTGAGAATACCGACTAATTCGTCAATCAAAATTTTTTCATTTTCACTAACCTCTCTGTCACTTTCTACATGCCTTTATCCATGTTTTGCAGCAATTCCACTTTTTGTTTGATGGACATCGAAACATGCTTTTGCTTTGTAGATCCTTTGGCAGCTCCAGAATCAGAAACTCTTTTTGACATAATCGAAAATTCAAGCTTACTTTTTATAAAATTGCTCTAACAGTCTGAAAAAAATAATAAGCTGGATCCAATTAGAAGATAAAGGAACAACACATGCCTATTACTGAAATAGATAATTAGATAATTTTAGCTAAGGCTTATTCTGTCCGTTATACATTAAACACGCATGCATAAACGTATTATGCGCATGTGAGCATCCGTAAAGGTATTATGCGCATGTGTAAACACTAAGCATGCGCCGAAAGTTTGTAGCTTTGAGGTCCGGATTAAAGACTTTGTACTGTAGTAACCATTATAGATTTCATTTGCTCTCTGTTGAGTTTCAATTGATCAGCGATAAAGCAAAATATTTTCTCTGTGTTTTAGTAACTATTTCACAATATGCACATACAGTTTACTCTCGATTATCTGGGTGTGGCTTATATCTGGTTTGCAGATTATCAATGCATGAAGAAATCGATGTTGTATTTAAAAAAATTGAAAACGTTCTTCAACAATGTGAATCCCGAAAACATCGAGGAATGGTTTGATGGCAATTCGACTGAGTTGAGCTTTCAGTACTTGAGTGACAAGCATATTGTTTCTAGTGACACAAGAATGGAAGAGGCAGAGTGCGATGCTGAAAATACAAGTGTAAAAGATACTGACATTTGCATTAGTAACGCTATAGCAATGACTTCTGTCAAAACTCTGTTGGACTTTGTCAACCAAAGGAGACTCAAATACTGTATTAGTACAATAGTAAAATAACACTTGAAAAATATGCAGTGAAATTCCTGAAGTATTTAAATGAAATTTTAAATGTTCTCAAAAACAAAATACTCATTTTTTTTTTTTTTTTAAAGAAATAAACGATACTTTTCCATTTTGCCGGCGCAGGCGATAAAGTCCACCAAATGTACACTGTTGCAAATGGAATATCCTCATGGTAACCTTTACGCTTCATTTCAAAAATAAGTCCCTCATTCTTTCAGATTGATTGTACTCTTTCAAGGGCATACAATACATAGAATTTTACCAGATAGTTTTAATTTATGCTCAAAGCCATTCGTGGTAATTAGTCAATTCGGATGAAATCACACCGCTCACCAAAGGCGAAATTATAGAAAAGGCAAGTCAAGGGTTAAATTCATCATTTCGAATGAGAATGCACTAAGACTTAAAGCCGCTGTTTACAGATAATGTGAGTAGCTATTCGATGAATTGAAATAATATTGCATTTAAAACTTTTTCTAATAAGATTAACTTGAATTATGTAAATACATAGAAGTCCAGAAATCCGCTATTTGGGACCAGAGGTTTAGCGGATTTTAGGACAGAAAGATAATTATTCAGCTAAAGGTGCAAATAATAAGGTGTATTGAATGCATTTAATTAAATTATTATATACCTTATACAATCTGATTATATGCATTAAATTATTTAATATATAAACTGATTATATTATATTGTTCATTTACATTAGGCTCTTCTATTTTTAAATCAGCATGAATCTGCTTCCCCTTTTCTCTCAGGAGTAGACAAATAGGTACCCCATCAATCTGCTGCTGCCTGAACCGCTGGTACGAGACAGCATCAAGGTTTGACGATTTTGCCTTATGTAAAGATTTCCGGTTTCGGATTGTGTTGCTGTAAAATTTCAACAGCTTTTCTTTATTGTTCCTTATATCATATAGAGTCCGTGTGGCAATTCCATACAATTTTGCTATAAACCAAGCAGTAACACCTGCCTCTATCTTTAGCAGAATTTCCACTTTTTTAATTACTGTCAGTGATTTGTTTATGATTTTCAATGTTGCAAGCATTAAAATCATGAGTGCGTTTCATATCTGTCATTGTATTAAAAAGGTGCTGAAATTTAAAATATTCTTAATTTATCCACAAAATATCTGGATTAAAAAAAAGACATCACTAAAATCTCGTGAATTACAAGCTCAGAAGTACAAACAACTGAAGCAGAAGTAGGGCACCGCACGTGCAGCGTAACTTAAGAAATTTGAGTAAATTTGCTTTCTTTATTCAATTATTTGGTAATTATGACTCATTTTCATTAAAGTATTTTTTCTCGATATTTCGTACTCCATGTTGCGGTTTCTGGAACCTATTAACTAAATGTTTAATATTTTGAGAGGCAACGCGGATTTCAGGTCCGCGTATTTTCGGTATTTGACTGTAATTACTGAGAGAATTTGAGTTTTATAGCTTAATTTACATGGGATGAGATCACTTGGGGTCACATGATACGAACCGGCGATTCAGGATGTTGAACCATGAAAGTATATTAAATTCTTAAATTAATGTCTTTTAACAAATTTATTGTCTTAAAATGTTTATGCCTTCAAAATAAAAAATTCTTAGAACTAACATTTGTTAACATTTTTTATGTGCATACTGTATGTTGTCGCCAATAAAGTCTGCTTGGCGATATTTGCACCAGCGAAATGGAAAAGTACCAAATGAACTTATGTAATATGCATGAAAATCTATAGTTTGGATTATCTCATATTTTTCAATCATCTGTGACCTGATTCCTCAGCATTAACCCAGATAATCAAGAGTAACATAAATAATTAATCAAAATACTGATTACAAATTATTTTACTTCAAATAAATCAGACTTATTATTAAAAAGGTGCTTATATATATATATTTGGCTTCGCCTTATTGCTCGAGTAAAGGACGAAACAACTTCGTATTTATTTCTTAATTATTGTTCATTGAATGGGAGTTGGTTTGTTCTCCTTGGAAAGTCAACTAATTTCCGATCAATGACAATGATTACATGCATTTAATTTAATTCTTGCCTTTAATTTATTCCTTTTACAATTGAAATTTTGTTATTCATGATTTAATTCCAGTCCCAGAAACATTTTAACAATTACATTCAAGTTACTTCAAACATCTTTCAAAATAGAACTTACTAATATGCATTCAATCTTTTAAATAATTCTACATAATTAAAACTTAGGAGATAATATAACCAATATTATTTATTAAATAAATTATTATTAACTTACTTTGAAGCAATTGCGCAAGTAGTAGAATAACTTGTTTTCTCACTAAATGAA